AGCCAAACCATTCTATGATTCTATGATTTAGAATTAGTTGATTAGTTTTCTTTTTTTTCTTTTAAATATTTGCATCATCCTTGCATTGAAATCCACTGTGTCATTTACAAAAGGCATATTTCAAAGATCACCTTCTCTCTCTTGACAGATGTTCAGTGACATACTTATGTTGAAGCTCAGATACAAGCATGAACTGCAAAATGCACAGCTATCCTCTGCAGATTTAGGAAGAACTTCCCCCTTGCTAGATGGACTTTTTTAGATATGAATGTCAATTGCCAGTCAGAATGAAACAAATCTTAGCATCCCAAATGAAGCATTAAGAATTAATTGCCTATTCTTCTGCCCTATAATTCTATTTCCTTCTTACTCTTGCTTGCACTTTTGTACTGTTCCTATCAAGCCATCCCCAAACCAAAATAATCTAGGCGTAAGTTATGAATCTCTTCCAAATCTGCCATAGCAAGAACAAATATTATATATTAGTCAGCCACTGGGCTGACTGAAAAGTGCTTCTTCATGCCCAGAATGTTTTAAATCAAATATGCATACATATTTAGAGCAAATCTTGCAAATCATTTTCAGATGTTTCTGAGGCATGCCATTTAAAATATAAAATTCCGCTGTCCTGAAGATGAATTGTAGGAAGAAAAGCTAATGACCTAAGGTAGATCAATGCCTATTTCAAAACCAGTTGTGTGCCTAAGTATCTTTAAATTTTAGCATATTTGAACATAAAAGAAAAGAGAACCTTTATACTTCTGAGCAAAGCATTTTCTAACACACTGGCCCTGGCACCAGCCTCCTCAGAACTGGCCAAGTGACAAGCAATCAGACTTGAATTTCTGGCAATTCACATTCTGAATTTGACCCTGAGGAGTTTCTCTAATAATCTGCTTCTAGGGTAAAAACCAGGAAAGACTTTCTCCACTCTACTAGCTGCTTCACACAGGCCATCCCCTAGCTGGAGCTAGGCTGGCTCTTCCTAGGTGCAGAGTTGAATATTCCTTCCTGTTCTTTAATGAGCTTTCCAGATAAGGTGAATGACACTGGCCATCTTCAGGGAACAGGTCTCTCTTCGGTGACAAATGACAAGTGTTCTTTCCTTGGATGTGAGACAGATTTTCTCTATGAATTAATGGAAGAATTTGGGGAGCGTGGGGATGTACACTGAAATTTGGAGTTAAGCCATTCCTAACTGTTAAAACTCTCTCTCTGCTGAGAGAATGGACCTGCTATATGTAGACTGTCAGTGTTTCCTTTTCAGGCTCCAATGCTGTCAGTTTGGTATCTTTCATAAGTACTTTGCACTATAGAAATTAGGGATGGAAAAGACCTATTAGGTCATCTAGTTTACCTACGTGCCAGAGCGAGATTCTTTCCTACAGTATGTATTTGGCCACAAGAGCAGATGGAGATGTAATAATTGCATGCTGCAGTAGATTTAATAGTAGTAGAGTTAGTCTTCAGAAGTTGCTATCAAAATTACAGACATAACACAGCACATGCCTGCAACTCTTCTGAAGGGAAATATGTCCTGGAAGACTTCTGCTAATGGTTACTGTCCTCCTGCTATCATGTTCTATGCAATGGACAGGTATTACATTTTATTAGTTACTTATTTGACTTTATGCTTGAGGAAATTTTACTTGACACAAGAAGGCAAAACTAGGAGGATCTGACAAACTTGGATGAAAATAAGTAAATAAAATAAGAAAGCTGAATAAGTATTACCTGACAGTTGTTTTTTGCCTCAAAATCACTTCGCCCAGACTGCTTCTCCTTGCTCAGCTTTAGGTCACTTTCTCGGAGCAGGTAGCAAACCAGCCATTTATATGCTGCTAGAGGAACTGTAAAAAGAGGAAACCAAAATCCTTAACTTTCACATTTATAATGCAAGAACTCACATGAAGATTCTACTGCAGTCTCAGTTTTTGTTATCCGAGACGGAAGTGTTCATTAACCAATCTATTAACATGACTCTTTGCCCATTACTGTATATTGCAATAAATAACATCTGGGCAAAATAATCAGATTGTAACTGTACAGTGAAGACACACCATGCTTGACCACACACTAGTTCAAACTGACTCCAACCTAAAAGACAAGGTATATCCACAGCCCAATTTAGATTTCAGACTTGATCAAACATTTTTAAGTTTTTATTTTCTTCCTATATTAAGAGTTAGGTCTGCAAGGTACTCAGTTGCTTTGGCAAATACAAGAACAGAAGGCAGTCCACATTTAGTGGAAGCACATGACTTCCAGCATTGCAAAAGTGGCTAAATGTAACCACATTAAAATGACCTGCTTTGTACATAATGTGTTTATAGTAGCCTGTAACTCTTCAGGAAAAAAAATACTACAGGATAAAGCCCTTTTATGAATTCTGCTTGCTTGTGTCTTACCTTAAGATTTAATGTAGAATATTATTTAGGCAATTGTGAGTGTTCACATGCTGCCTAAATTTAGGCACCGAAATTAACAGTCCAGTTTCTAACAGAATGGAAAAATAAATAGTTTCAGATATTTTTAAAACTATCATCTGGTACAGTAGGTATTTACAAGACAAGAGAGAACATGTGCTTAAGTATCAGTCTGTGCTCTCCTGGATTTCACAAGTTGGAGGCATAAAACAAAGAAGAAAGCAAGCAGTTGCTTTGAGCTAGTCTTTCTTATAAGCCTTTGTGATTTAGCTATTATGATACTATCTCACCTGGTACTATGCACCATTATCCAAAGTTCAGCTTTTTTGCAATTATTTGAGCACTGAAGTGGTTACTGAATTCTAGGAATCAACTAGATTGCCCCTTATGTATTAAGACCGTGGTTTCTTCCCCCAGTATGTTCTTAGCTTCACAGATTCACTTTTGCTCAATGCTCTGTCACTATCTCATTATCTGCTCATTACTTTGTTAATTTTTGCCTCCAAGAACCAATTTGGGCTCACAGTGATATAAAAGCGGGAACAGCATCTCATGTCATATTTGATTTGATTATAGCAGAGTAAGCCAGGAAAGCTGCAGGGAATTTTCTTTCACCATTACTCATTTTTCTCTATGCAACCAAAAGCAATTGTCAAAGGCAGACATGCTTAAAGCCTTTTCAACGTATTTCTAAATTGCTTGCATGGTTTTCTAAAATAAGATATTTTGGTGATACAAGGTAGTGGCAATCAGTGCTCCTTACAACAGTTTCACTTGAAAACAATACAGTGGCAAACAAACCTAGATTACAAATGCTATTTTAGAGGAATAAAAATGGCAGAAAAATATCTCATACTATCCCCCATTTCAGAATTGAGGCTGGGGGTGATAGGACATACTTTGAAATGCAAATCATCTTCTTAATAAATTGAAATGCATGTAATACAAAGAAATTCAGCAAATGACAAATATCTAATACACAGCAGAGGCTGAATCTCAGATCTATGGATCCTTTCCTCTGGAAAGGAATTTAAGATTCTAGAATCAGTTTAACAACAGCAGAAGGCTACCTGAGGAGTTCATGCAATCTTCAACACTAACAGCTGTGAATTTCCAGCCAAGGATATGATGGTAGTCTTGCAAAACATTTATTGTTCCAAAAGGGGATTCAAAAGGAGCTTTATCTGAAATACCAAAGAAAATAAAAATTATTTATGAGAAAAGAAATCGGAGTCTTTGGAACTAAAAGCCCATTACAAAGCCATGCATACACTCAATAGGCCAGATGCAATTAGTCCAGCCAAATGAGGACTGGTGGACAAATGCTGAAAAACCTGACATCACTACCTTTAAGCCCCATAAGATTTAACACCTATTGCTGAGTTTTCCAGTTGTGTAAGATGCTGGTGAAATGCACTGCTGGAAAGTGGAAATAAAATCTAGAGAACTACAAAATGTACTGATGGATATTGCTACCAAGTTGGGCAATATACATAGTTTTAAGTACAAAGAGGAGAGGGTACCCAGACTTACAACAACTTCAGGAGTAGGTCCACTAAACTAAATTGTGCTTTTCAAGGAGTAAGATACTACTTAACCTAACTAGGGATAGCAAAACATCTAGCTCGCTTCTGCAGGACTTAGAAGAAAGAATATTTCTTGCAGCAAATATCTGTGTATTGTGAATGTATCATATGATGGAGTCTGTAGCACATTATTTATGCTCTACAAAATGAGTAAATGACTGTCAATTGCTTTCAGTATGAAATTAGCTCCTAATTCCATTAGCTACACACTGTTGGGTCCAGCACAGGATTCCACAATGAAAACTTACCTCTTATGCAATCCATCCAGCTCATTAAGTAGTTGCTGGTTTGCTGAAGTAGGACGTTGTTATCTCCCTCATACGTGCAATTTGGATCATTGTCATTTCGGATTTCACCCAGACGGTTCACTTAATAAGAACAAGTGCACAGTTCTATATATTGCAATGTATTAATGGAAGCTAAGAGGGATTAAATAATTATTCTGTGACAAAATGCAAGAGAGTTGTCTGTTCCTACATGTACAGCTATTGCTTCCAGCAGATGAGCTTGAAAGCTTGTGAAAACAGATATACTGGAAAGATTTTAGAAAAGCGTGGCATTCATCTTACAAGGGGAGATTTCACCTATGAAGTCTATTTTTGGAAGACTGAATCACCAAATGCTGGTGCTGTGGCATTCATCTTACAAGGGGAGTTTTCACCTATGAAGTCTGTATCATTACTTTTGGAAGACTGAATCACCAAATGCTGGTGCAGATGCTGCATGAATTTAGTGGGATTTTTGTGGTATCAGGTATGAAAGGAGCTTTAAAAACATGGACATGCAGAAAAAAACCTTTCTAAACATATTCCTAAGATTCAGACACCATGACACAACAACATTCAAAGAACACATGAACACAACCATTCTCCTTCTGATCAGTGTATGCAGTAGTCTGTAACTTACTGGCAAGGTAACCATGTCCTCCACAAGCTTCTCGGC